TGTATTTGGCAGATTAACTGTTCTGTATTCCATTGCTATGAGGTATGGAAACTGTACTGTGAAACAGCCATTACTCACTCCCTGGGCTCTGAGCACGTAGGTCTATCAAAGGCAAGCCAGCCCGGGGGGGGGGGTTGGGGGGGCAAGGGCTGGAGGGAGACGAGTCTACGCGTTTCAGATTAACGCTCCTCTTGAATGGTTTCTTTTCTTTTATTTCCCCTACTTTTTAAATTAGCAAATACAGTAGACCCAGAAGGGAAATGCGCAAGGGGGAGAAAGAAAGAGGGGAGGGAAAGGGAAAAAGCAAAAGCAGCCAAAACTCTGACTTGTTCATTATAGGGTTTTTGTGTTTGAACATCTGAATGAATCATGTGTCTGTTTTTCATTATTCTCCATATGTGATTGTTCCCTGCTTTGTTCAGTGATTTCTGGCCATTTTGTCATGACTGTGCTTATTTTGTTTTATATATTGTTCTATTACAGGGTGATTGTTGCTTCTCCTCTGCCTCACTTAGCAGTTATGCCACCAACAAAGAGCAATCTGAAAATGAGAGGTTACGTCAAAAGGTTTCCCTAGTGAACTCCCTTGCAGCGTATATGATTACTTTAGGCCCAACTGCTTAATTTATACCAGAGAGAAATCCTCAGATAACACTATTCCTTAGCATGAGAGGAATGTAGTGGGTATCTTTTTAAAAATCTGAGGAATACTGGAGAATGACTTGAAGTCCATTGCAGAGTGTTTTCCTCATTTTTCCAAGAGGAAACCTAACACTTCTTGCTAAGTAGTGGCCTCTTTTAACAGATCTGCACACTGATACATGGGGTATTTGAAATAAATTCTCTGCTATATTAGCTATTTTCCACTTTCAGCTCTATTCTATACCTTGGTCAACACACAAATGACAGAGAAATGGATTCTGAAATCTCCAATCATGTGATAACTTCTATCATCTCCCTGAATTTAATCCACCCTACTGCAATGTATAAACATCACAGGATGATGTCTTCCTTTAACAGGATATCTCACTCTTTGCAGAAGATGAATGAAATCCAAAACACTGGAAAGAAACAAAAAATATGCCTGTTTTTTTGTTTTGTTTGTTTTTCAAAGGAATCGATGCAGGTCCCAGTGGTTTAGGGACACCTAGTTTCAACTTTTGGAGAAAATTTTAGAGCAAATAGTCATATTAATCCATTCACAGACCCTGAAAGGTAACAGGTGATTAGCATCATGCAGCACAGGTTTAGCAAGAGTAAATAATGTCACATCGCACTTCTGTCTAGAAGTAGGGAACTACTTTTATGGATAGGTAAGTACTATATATTTTAGTTAAATCTTGGTTGTCTCTCATAACTTGAGCAGATGGGATATATGACCTAGCTAAAACTGTGATGCAGGTGCCAAACTGATTAGCAGATCAGATTAAAAAAAAAAAGTTCTCAATGGCTCAATGTTGCACTACCTGGTATAGTGAGAGGGTTTCCTCAAAACTCTTCCACAGGTCTATTATTATTCAGTCTTTTCCAAATTATCTTGTCCAGTGGATTAAAGAAATCATTTATTAACTGTGAAGAGGATACTAAAGAGGTAAGTGCTGCAAGCACTCTGGTGACTTAAGATTTGAGAATAATCTTAGCAAATTAAGGAGTCGCCGGGAAAAAAACGGGATAAAATTCAATACAGACAAATAAAAAGTAGTAGCCTTAGGAGGGAATAATCAACAGCACAGAGCAGAGCACACAATAAGGAATGCCTGGCTGGCAGCAGTGCTGGACAAAAGAATAACAGAAGCGAGGGCTGCAGAGAATCCCTTAGCATAAATCAGCACTGCTGTTCTCGTGCAACACCCTCTGCCTCAGAATTGTTTCTACATTTTAAATATACATCGTTATTTACATGGACATATCAACAACGAGGAGAGTCATGTGATCACAGAAAAGACAAATGAAATAAGCTCTCCACACTATTTTAAACGGTAAGATTTAAACTGTCTGATATCCTGTGCCTGGCTCGAAGGTCTTCAAGTCAGTCAGCTAATTAGAGAGAGAGCAGCGAAGTGCAATATAATCAGAAACTTAAAACAAATTGACTTTAAGGAAAAAGTGAAAAGACTAGTGTTTAGTCTAAGGAAAAAATACAGCAGACTCATAAGCAGTCTTCAAATACATATGTTTGCTGCAAAGAGGAAAAGAATAAACTGTTCTGCATGTCCACCGGGGATAAGAAAAGAAGCAATAGGCTTAAATTGCATCAGGGGAGATTTGGGTTAGACATTAGGAAACGCTTCATTACAAGTGAGGAGAGGGAGCGCTATCACAGATTGCCTGAGGACCTCGAGGAATCTCCACCGCTGGAGGCCTTTGAGTGCAGGTTATAGAAACTCCCTTCAGCAGTGGGTTAGAGCTGATCCTGCCCCAAGGCAGGTTCTGAACTCCTCAGGTCCCTTCCACTTCTGTTCCCTGGGAAGCTTTTTTTTTTATTTTGCCAGCCTTACTGAAGGGAAAGGAAATTGTACCCAGCATTTAAAGCAGCAAAACATCTATTCTTTTTATGCCACAAAGCATACTGTTAATAAATCCAATTACATTTACGATCTTTTAATGGCACCACTTATGTCATAAAGATCCATCTTTGAAAATACAAATAAATATCTCTGCCCTACAGTGTAATACAACAGTGTGAAAGCAAACTTTTAAAAATTCCAGCTCACTGTTATATGGCCCCTAACTATAATAATCTGAAAGCTAACTACAATATAAAACCACCAAACTCAGATGGTTTTCTGTCTCGAAATTCTACCATTCAAATTCTTTGCAATCTTTCCACTTCACATTTCATGTTTCACAAACAGGTCTAGTTGTGTTTACCCCTAGCAATCGAAACAGAGGAAATTCCCATTGGTTACCAGTGATTACCTGCCAAACATGCATTTAAAAACCAAACAAAAAGTTAAGAACAGTCATTGATCATGCTTCCCCCAGATTGTCTCCACCAACCTTTAGGCACCCAGCTGAAGCATCTATACCGACAACACAGTGGTCTCAGACAACAAGGATCAGCGGAGACAAATGTATTTCTCACTCCCATGGAATTCATCTTACCATTCAACATACAGCCCAGTTCAAATTCAACTCCATCTGCTTCATTTTTGTTGCCATTTCAGATGGACAGAAGAAAAAGATGAAAAAAAGGATGGAGCTGATGTATAAGAGAACAGAGAACACCTGTCTTGTTGGTAGTGAAAAAGGGGACAAGGACAAGAACCTACATGTCCCCTATGCCCAAAGGTCTTATCTGGAATGTAAGACAATGAAGAGTGGCCCCAGGCTAACCCCAAATTGATCACAGAATTCCTGTTTCTCATCCCTCACATCAGCAGCTCATGAACTTCCAAGCTCTCCTAGGCCTGAGCCCCAACTTCCTCCTGCCCAAGAGCTCTAGCCCCAAGTGCTCCTACCCCAAAGTCCTTCCTATCCCATCACAGCACTCTTCTTCCTCAATAAACCAGCTCAGAGCCCATTCAAGCCACTCAATCCCTTTGTAGCCCCATCAAGCTGCAAGCCTCCCTTCTCCCTACAGCTCTCTATGCCACACCTTGTCTCCAAACCTCAAAATCCCCTGGTCATGAAGCAGCCAGTGGCAGGCACATCCATCTCCTCCCAGCTTTGAAACTGCAGCACTCACCTCTCTGCCCTCCTGGTCACCCTGTCAGGGCTTTCTGCACTTGGCCTAGCCTGTCTTCCCACAAGGGTATTCCTTCATAATACAATCAAAACAAACAAACAAAAAAACCACCCCAAAACAAACTAGGTTTTGTCCCTGGCATAATATTCAAAGAAATTTAGAGAGCACAATGTTACCAGAAGTCTGTCAGAACCCAGGAAAGGAAAAGCACATCCAAGCAAAAGCAAATGCATGGCAGTCCCACTTCTGACGATGGCCCACGACCAGACTGATGAAGTTTTCTACTAGAACTGCAGTTTTCCAGCCTACTTTTCTCTTGAGTGGCTAATGAATGCTGTTGTGGCAGGCAATAGGTAAAGGCACACACTTCTACAAACTGCAAGAACATCATCAGTACAGCTGGCAGGATTTTGCCCCATCTCGTAATTTCCCCAAATGTCTTCCTCTGCTTCTTCTCTTCACACTCTATCTGGCCACTCATGAGATATTCCTGTACTGCAATGCTTGTTCTTTTCACTAACTCATATAGAAATGCTGTCCAGAATGTGCTTCTCATCAAAAGAACCTGCTCTAGTAGATCTTATTACTCCAAGAGGATTCTTTATACCACCAGTGCGAAGTTACAGTGTCAGTTTAGAGCAGAGCTTCTCCCCCATAGACTTGATGGCTCTTCAGACTGGTAAATTAGTAACTGTTCTACTCCTGAGATACTGCTAAACATGTTAGTCATTATTTATCTAGGCAAATATAGCTATACACACACACATGAAACATGCTATATTTCACAAAAAAATAAAGTTTTCATACATTAGCAGACAAATTAAGAACATAAAATTGGAAGAGGAATCATTTCTATATCTTGGTATCAGAATTTGTGGATCTATTTGTGTCAAAGAATATTTTCTTCTTCCAATAGCATAGGCCAAGACTTCAGAAAACCAAAAAAATTAAACCAGGTTTTGCTTGGGAAACTTTTCCCAAAGGTTTCTCATTTTTATATAGGAAATCAATTTGCATCACTGATGATATCATTCAAATCAGACAGCACTATGTGGTTAGAAGGTAATTTACTTTTCTGCTGAAGCAATTTGATACTTGTTCTGATTTGTGATTTTCATTCTGTTTGTTAATGAAAAAAATTAATGAGCAATGTTACTGGAAACACAACTCAAAGCTTTGGCATTATTAAATATGTTTGAATATACTGTACATTATGTTGATTGCATAGTTGGAGGCAGAGCCTTGGCAGTCAAGCCACCAGTCAATCATTCAAACAGACAATGAACTCACAGGGTGGACATTTTGCACGTACCTTTGCACTGATTTGTGTTTTTGTCGAGAATTGCCTTTGTGGATACAATTTTCCCATACCTATGGAGAAAACGAAAAACAGAAATACATGTTATTATATTTTAATAGCATACATAGTTATTTCCACACATATAACACGTATACTAGGAAGAGATCTACTGCTCTTGAAAAATGTTTGCCTGATACTCCTGGAGAGTCACTGCAGTTCAACAACCACCTTTCAAGATCACCTGAAAAGCACTGGTCATTTGCCATACCCTGTCCACCTCTGGTCACCGCACCGTACTGCCAGCTTTTATGCTGATTATAGTAAGAATTTTAGGACATCAACACCAGGTAAAGAGGTTTCTTTGGTTAAATTAATTAGCTTTGCTTAAAAATATTTTTTTCATTTTTAGCTTCCAAAGTTAGTTTCAATACAGATGGACCAGATTCCTCCAGGATTAATAAAAAAAGAATGATTGTGGCCATTTTTTTACATGCATGCACACACAACTGTGCTCATGTTGCAGCCATGACTGCACATATACACCCTAAACTTCTGGTTTTTGGATATACAGCTTTGAGGTTCACGTGCGTCTCCTAGCTCTTTCCAAGATCAATGTTAATCCTTATTTGAATTTAAATCACTTCCCATAGACAACATGGCACTGCACTGTAATCTGACAGACTTAAAATGACAAAGAGGGAATTCGGGCAGCTACAACTTGTTGCATTAAGCTTCTAGACCATAAAATAGGTATCTGTCTTTACCTCATCAAAGTTAAGACTAAAAATGCAGGCTTTATACCAAGTATCACAAAACCTCGGTAAAAAAATTCACAGAAGATGGCATTTATGGCTCAATATAAGACTTCACGAGAATAAGGAAAAGAATTTTATTTCTTAAGTCACTGATATGTCTTGGTCTTTGCTTCACTGAAGAGAACTTCCTCTAAAATGTCCTTTCCCAGATTTTTTTAAAAAGCATTACCAGTACACTGATTGATTGGGTTTCCTTTGGAAGACTTACCCATGGAATGCAACTTCACCCACCAATGAAGGCCATACTACTATAAAAGATTATAATAAAATTGTATCTTCTAGTGGCAAAACAACACCCATGGAAAATAACCAACAGTTCATTAATTAAACCACTGAAATGTATGACAGACCAATTTTTATTAGGTTAATCTATATTAACAGCAATATAAATTTGGTGTTAGTAAAAGTCAAGAAACCAGAATGTGGAAGACCTTGCTGCATTTTCTTCCTCTGCCTGGGGGAAAAAAACATCTACTATACAGAAAAGGGCTCCAAGGGCAGCTAGAGCACTGTACCACGCATTGAAAGCCCTTCCCTTCTCTGTCCTCCCAGTCTGTAAACATACCCAGTAAATCAGGAAAAAAAAAAAAAGACCAAAGAAAAGAAGCCAGGGAGCCAGAAGAGGTAATGGTACCATCACTCACAGGGAAAAGGGGACCTTTGGGTTTGAAACTCAGTTCTCAGCAAACACTTAAGTATCTCATGAAGGAGGAGCAGCACCAATAGGAAAGACTGGGAACAGCCTGCCTAAACATACTCTTCGGTATCATCAAAGAAGATTTGAGACCATTTTTTGCCTGACAAAGTTCTCAGATGAAGTTTCCACACTGTGAATGACATGTAACCAGCTTTAGATAAAGGCCACTGGCTCGCCATCTCTCTGTACTCTGTTTTCATGACTGATGCAAAGCAAGGCTTTCCATTTCACTGTTTTTCCTTTCCCTACGAACCCGCAAAAGCATTTGTTTCCATTTGACTTTCATTTTAGGGAGGAAGCCTTCCTCCCCTCCACACACACCCCTTTTTTGCTGGCTCTTTAGACAGGCAGGATTTTGTGCTCTGAAGGCAGGCGTAATCTACTGTACACGCCACCATGATGGATGCACGGGTAGGTAGCTGTGGGTCTATTTTGCCATTGCTGGTTCCACTCCAAACACATACATTTAATTTTAACCATGAGATCACATGCTTTTCTAACCTCAGGTGTTTCCAGAATTGGGGCCTTTATACTCGCTTATGTTCCACTTAATTTTATAATTCTTCACGGTAATACCTGAAGTTGACTTTGGCCTCGAAAACATTAGAGCACGTATCTTAAGAAGGCAAAGCCAACTTCTCTGCCACTGTGATTTATGGTTGTTCAGTGGGCCAACTTACCCAGCAGGAAATTTGGGCCGTGCGGTGCATCCTCATTTGTTTGATTTATTTAGATTTAAAATCAAATACATGAAAAACATGCAAAAACATGCCTATCTTGTACAGTAAAGGGCCTCTGACAGATATATAGAAAAAGAATCCAACAAAAATCAGCAGCTAACCCACAACAACCTCAAATAAAACACAACCCCTACCTAAACTTCCGCCAACAAAAACTAACACCCAGCCTCCATTTCAGCCCAGCCACTCCTAATGAATTGATATGTTGTTTCATCCAGGTCATGTGAGAGCTAGAAGTTAACATTTCTTGCCAGCAGAGGCAAGCAGTTGTGGTTCCACTGCTTTTATTACCGATTTCCCAGAGTTATTTGCTACATACTGTGATCCTGCAAACGCTTAGTTACACTAGAGACTTCACTGGCAGAAGGAATTCTGTTGGGTTCAGAAGAGGTTTCCTCCTGCACGGAAAGTTGTGTGCACACCTTCACCTTTGTGAAAACAGACATCAGAGCGGTAAGAGGCACCACAAGAAGCAACACTGTTCTAGGCAATTAGCCATATGCACGCGATTTAATCTAGTGCTATAAACCTTGAGCGCTACCACAAGAAAGTAATTGGAATTAATTTGGACACTGTTTTCCTAAATATTTCAAGTAATTATTTTACAGTAATCAGAACATCAGTTCTGATGAAGAATGTTGGTTTGTGTGCTGCATGAAATCAGGAAGCTATTCTGTTCCTACAAATACAGTCATAGTTCTTTCTTGCAGGCGTGGAGAACAGTATTAAGTTATGCCTCCTCTCCAAAGTTGTTTGTCTTTCTGTTTGTACGACCTTTAATTGTGATTTGATTGACTCAGAAGTACCAAAAATGTATTCATGGAAAGGATAACGTGCATCGCAAGAGATGGCCTCCTGTTTTCTTATATTTAAAACTACTATAAAATCCAACAGCCTGCACACCTCTGTTCTACAAACAAAAATATCATTTATGTTAAAAATACCGGGTACGGTCTGCTTGTCATGAGAAAGCATGGGCACTATTTACCTTCCTCCTGAGCTACGGTACATGGGCGTATTCTTTCAAAGACTTTGAATGAAAAATTCTGGTCAAAGATAATTGTGGAATTAAGTTCATCCCAATGTCTTATTATCAACCCTTCAACATAACGACTGAATCATCACAGTATCCAAGGGAATAGACATTATGAATCTGTGAGATGGCTACCTCAAGAATGTGTCTGCTGATGATCTGAACTGAAATTTCTAGTCAAAAGATTTCCAGTCATACAACATGTGGGGTTTTTTATTACATTCTTCCCCAAGTGTTATTTAAGGGCATAGTAAGCACAAATAGAATTGTTTACATCAGGGTTTTTTTAATACTTTTAATCCCTTATGTACAATTATGGGTTTTATGTTTTTTCCATGTAACAGTTTTAATCTAAAACCAGGTGGTTAGATATTTGAAAGACCTTCCATGTCAGGAGCAACTTCAGTGACTAGGACTTCAGCTCATTAAAGCAGGACCTGTGCAGCGAGATGGTGACTAGTCATCTTTGTTGTTTCTCGTAACACATAAGGACTGCCAATGAAATTATAAGATTTAAAAACTTACAAGATATATAAACTGCAAAAGGTAGTACTTCCTCAGAACGAAGAGTTACTTGTGGAACTCATTGCCATAGCCCGTGCTGACACCTCACAGAGACCATCTCCACAAAAAAAAAGCTATCAGACAACTTCTAGGATGGAAAATCTGTCACAAAATTAAAAGCAAAGACACATTTGTGGCCCTGGAAGTCACACACTGCCAGAAACTGGGAGAGGGTACCAGGGTGGTATCATCACGTTGCATTGTCCCTGTTTAATATCAGGCACTTTCACAGCTGCCGAAACAAATTCCTCTCTGGCCCGGCCCAGACGTCCTCACACACCAAGAGAACATTAATTTGGGGGTGAAAATATCTTCTTACATATCAAAACATTTTTACCTTCTCTTGTATATATTGGTTTGGGGTGAAATTGTTCAAGTCATCTGAAAACCACTACTAAAATGACAAAGGTCACCTAAAAAAAACACTTTACTTTCTAAGGTGGTAACACACGCTGTGTCACACGGAGGGTAGGATTAAGGGAAGACTCCATGGTGCTGTGCAAAGAGGAACAATCTCCCTGCTCAGTCCTGGCTATGGAGCTATATCAAAAACTACTCCCAAGAGCCCCATCCCACCACACCCCACATTTCCTCACTACTCAGCAGTGTTGGGAAAGATGCAAGCAACACAGAATAAACCCTTAACCCACACCCACGCTGCAGTATCAATAGATCATTTCAAGAGCTTGCAGGCAGGTGGTCGATCAGCACTTACTCTGCAGACAAGGCTCAACCCGGTCACTCCTGGGAAGTTATTTGATAACTGCTGTTAAAACGGAGATAGCTCCTGAAGGAAGCACTTCAGCTGCAAGTGATACCACTTACAAGATGCGTGAACCTTTCCCACTCCCCACACCGATCTCAAACTGATGTGGATTTGCTGACTCACCGCAGGCAGAGGATTCAAGCCATTTCTGCTTCTGCCTGGAGGAAGCCGAGGGTGAAGGGGAAGGAAAGTGGGTGGCCAAGGTTGGGAGGGAATGGACCAAGGTGTCCCTGGTGAGGGGCAGCCACCACCGAGAGCCACTGAGGCAAAGAAGGGATTTCCTGGGAGACGAACCTGTTTGGGGCCACTCCAAGTTTCCACTTTTCCATGGCGTTATGGAGAAGAAAAGCCTCTGGGATAATTACAACTTCTTCTGTCCTTCAAGCCAGCCTTTGGGCTGCCCACAGCTAGTCCTGTAACGCCAAAACTGCCATGGGAGCAAAAGGCCAAGTCTCT